CTCCATCTTTACAAAGCCTGATGAGACTCTGATTCACTTTAAAAAAAAAAACTTTATTGATTTGAGGGGGCTGCCTCCTGCATGACCCCTATTGGGGATTGAGCCCGCAACTCGGGCATGTGCCCTGACCAGGAATCGAAATGTGATCTCTTGGATCATAGATGAATGCTCAACCACTAAGCCATGTCGACCAGGCCCTGATTCCCTTTCTAGCACCACAGCCAGTCCCAGTTTCTTAAAGATGACCACAGTGGCTTTCAGCTTACCTCTGCAAGATATCCCCTATCCAGGACCTAATGCATCTGGGCCTGGAGACTTGAATGCATCTAAAGTCGCAAGATGCTCTTTTTCCACCTCACCTATATGGCTTCAGTTTTCTTTTTCCAGTGTTTTTTTCCTTTCTATTTTTATCTAATTCGAAAGACATTTTCCATGATGGAGATTACCGATGGCAGCCAGGACTTTTGTTTTGCTTCTCTGCTGTTTTATTAATGTCACACCTCCACTGATGAGCAGGGGGCCCACCTACCCCTCGTTCTGAACTCTGCTAAATCATAACAGCCACCTTCGGTGTCTTTTGCAAGCCTCAGACTTCATCTTCCATAGCTCTCCTGAAGGGAGGCACAGGAACCTGTACCTTCTTTCTCTATTGTTTTTGTTCATCTTTCAAAATCTGAGCTTATGAGGGTGGTCCCAGTACAGCTGCACTTGGCAAAGGTAACTACCTTATATTTCCTTTTGGAACTTTGGTAGCAAAGTTTTCTTAGGGGCAGTGTGAGACCCCAATTAAGTTATATTATAATGTACACAGGTATTATGGGAGCACAGGAGATTCCCATACTGACAGCTTCCCCTCCTCTTTCTTCTCATTGTCTCTGCTTACATATTCTTTTAATACTAAAAGTTTTGTTGTTTTTTTAAAAGTGAGAGAAGAAAAAAGCAATATATTATCTTACCTCATCAAGATCTTTGGTCTCTCTGCCCAGTTCATCATCATCTTCATCAGAATCTAGCTCTGGTCCAATATAATTCCCAAACTCATCATACAAGTCAGTATCCATGATGCTAAAATTCAAGAAGAGGAGTTAGATTCTGAGAAGGTAATCAAGGCCTCCACGACATGGCCCCACATGTCTAGGCTTAGAGTTGACCATATCCCTTCACACATCTCCTCTCCAATTACACCAACCTACTGACAGCTCCCCCTCCTCTTTCTTCTCATTGTCTCTGCTTACATATTCTTTTAATACTAAAAATTTTTTTAATAACTTAATACCAGAAGATTTTAAAAACAGTACAAATAACTTTCTTTTTCCTAAATTATTTGAGAGTAAGTTACTGACACAATGCATCATCACCACCTAAAAGTTTACTGCAGGAGTTGGCACATTATGGCCTGTGGACAAATCTGGCCTGCTGCCTGATTTTAATTTTATTTTAAAAATTTATCTGCTGCCTGATTTTATAAAGCCCTCAAGCTAAGAATGCCTTTTACATTTTTAAATAGTTGAAAAATCAAAAGAACATTATTTCATGATATAGGAAAATTAATGACATGAAATCAAGTTTCAATGTCTATAAAAACAGCTTTATTGGAACACAGCCACGCTCAATCATTTATATTATCTATGGCTGGTTTCACACTGTACCAGCAGAATTAAGTAGCTACAACTGAGCCCATATGGCCCAGAAAGCCTAAAATATTTACTATAGGAAAGGTTTGCCAACTACTGCTTTAGTGTGTATCATTCCTACAAACAAGGACATTCCCCTACAAAATCACAATACAACTATCAAAATCAGACACATTACTACCACCTAATTCACAGACCCCAAGTTTCACAAGTTGTTCTAATAATGTCCTGCATAGCAAAGGATCCAATCCAGGATTGCATGTTTGCATTTAGTTGCCGTGTATTTAGTTTCTCTCACTCTGGAACAATTCCTCAGTTTTTCCTTGACTTTTATGACTTAAAACTTTTGAAGATTATAGGCTAGTGAGTTTGTAGAATGTCCCTTAACTTGGGTTTGTCAGATGTTTCCTAATGATTGATTAAGGTTATGCATTTCTGGCAGGAATATCTCAGAAGTGATGTGTTCTTTTTAGTGCATCTTCTATCAGGGAGTACATGATTTTAATTTGTCCCATTAGTGGTGATGTTACTTTAACCACCTGATTACAGCAGTGTCTGCCAGACTTTTCTATTGTAAAGTTATCTGTTTTCTCTTTTTAATTAATACGTTTTTTGTGGGGTTTCTCCACTTTAATTATTGAAATTCTATTCAAAGTACAGTTCAAATGCCACCTCTTTCAAGCTTTTCCACATTCTCAATTTCTCACTCCCCTATGCTGCTATAGCCTTCTGCTCCTTTACTAGCATTTAACTGTCTTGAATGGTAGTTAACTGTACTAATTACCCTCACCAACAGCTCTACAGCTTGTAAGTAATATGCAGCAAACCAGAGCATGGGTTAAGGGCCTGGGCTCCAGAGTTGAAAGACTTGGATGTGAATCCTTTCATTGCATGAAGGGTTATGAGAATTAAACAAAATAGTCTGTGTAAAGAATTTATCAGAGTCCCAGGCTCAATAAATGTTAGCTAGCATTATTTTTTGGCTATTCTTGAATACAGGAACCCTGTGTTCCTTGTGCGTACCTGCCAGTACACCTTGCATAAGTAGGTACTGTTAAATATTAAGTGAATGGAATATTTAATTTTAAGATACTGTTATTTCTTGCACTGTTAATCCCTCTACCTCCCTCAATGCACCCTGTCGAGTGCTGATTGTAGATAAAATAGAGAATTAAGAGCTACAAGAACCAGTAACTAATGTAAATTATTATGGTACCTTTCAATATGCATAGAGATTCTTTACACTTCCAAAAAGCTTCCAGGAAGCTTTTTCTCCTTCGAAATGTGAAATGCTCTTCCTTTGGATATTCATACCTTGTTCCTTCATTTCACTCAAGTCTCTATGAAAGTGTGACGTTTTCTGAGAAACCTGCACTTGTAACTCTATAAAAGTCCCCTATACACACACTCTTCAACCCCCACATTCACTGTTTTATTATTATTAACATTTATCACTAGCTGAAATACATCCATGGGTTCAGTCAGCTCCTTAACTACAATTTAAGCAAGGACTTAATTTGATTTCACTTACAAAAGTGCCTGACACAATACAGGGCCTCAATAAGTAGTTGTTGTTGAATAAATGAATGAATGACGCCGACAAAGCAGAGAAGATAGCTGACTTGCCTGCAGTTGCACAAAGCTAGTAACCTTAGGTACCAAACCTCACTGCAGCTTCCCGCTATAATGCAGGCACGGAGGGAGCTTGGCAGAGGAGCGAAGATGGCACAGATGGAACCGGAGAGAGGGGACTGAACAGTGAGAGAATGACCCCTGCCTAGGGAAGGGGTTTTACGGATAGCCGACACTGAGGGAATCCTGGAATGTGTGTGTGTGTGTGTGGGGGGGCTTTCATTCCTTTCCCGCTCCGCACCTCAATTTACTCACTTGTAAAGTGAAAGAGGCAGATCGCATATAAAGTCTCTTCCAGATCTGACATTACTTAATTTCCCATCCCACCCGGAGCAACTTTCCCAGGCCGTTGACCCCCGTCAGCTCACCTCCCTCCGGCTCAGCCAAAACCTCCAAGAAGCCCAACGGCGACCGCGCTTCCGGCCCACGCCGCCGCACCGCCTGCGCCCGCTGCCCGGAAGGACCCCGCCGACGCCACTGTCGCGTTTCTGACGCGGAGGACAGCCCTCTGCCTGAGGGCCAGCTCGGAAGAATGGCCACCGTAGACACAGGAACGCGTGATGTGGAGTTGTGGGCCCCAAAACTGAGGCGTGGGCTACTCCAAACAGAGTGAGGCCTGAAGAGGCCTGAATCTGATCAGGCGCCTCGGGGCCGCACTGAAAGGGGGGCCTTCGGGCCGATCACGTGTGCAGGCTGTTGGAGCTGTTGCTAGGCAACCACAGCGGTTGTACGTGGTCTACGCTGAGCTGCCCTGTTACGGAGGATCTAAAAATCCCCAAAGAAAGCACGGGAACCGAGGCCAGGGCTGCTGGGGTGACGGCTACGGGGGTCAGAAGGGTTAGTTGTATTTATTCAGTGACTGGGGAGGGCTCCGAACTGGACAGGAGCCAGAACATTTGAGTTAAATTCCTGGTCAGCCCTCTTGTTGGTGTTCAGCTTATCCACGTTGGGGTGGAGAGGGAGGGCTATAGGGTTGGTTGCGGACATTCTGCTGCCCTGCGCTAGGGCTATTGATGATGACTACCACAACATCTAGCTCAGTGCCCCAGGAATCTGAGGTTCAAGGGGGTCTCACAACAAGGAAAAGCCAGAGCCAGGACTAGAACCCATATAGATGATCTCTCTGTAGAACAGGACCAATCAGCCTCAGATCCCAGAGGCTGCAAAAGTACAGTGGCAGAACTAAAGAGGTCTCCGAAGTACCTAGGGACCTGTCCTGGGCAGGACTGAGGGATTTGGGAACAGGGATCATTAAGCCCCTTCCTCTGCCACTTCTTGATTTCCTGCTCAGTCATTGCATCTGGTTTGGGTGAAAAGTACCCTTTCTTATTAAAGACATTTAATGATGGATGAAATCTTATCCCCGGGCTCAAGAGTAGCTAACAATAGTTATCTATCACAATAACTTGCTATGTGGAAGAGTGAAGGGACTGAATTATAAGATCCAAATGCTTTCTCATCAAAAGCAGCAATATTAAAATATTCTTAGAGGCAGAAAACAAAATTAAGACATGACTCCAAACTGAACAAACTCTGTGTTTAGTGACAACAAATCTTAAGCAAGTCCTCAGTATGTAACTCTGTAGAGAACTAGATTTTCATAAACCCCCCAATATAAGTGACAAGATATCTGGAGTGCTTTTGTGTCATTTTGTGGGCAAGAGTCCATTTTCCTTCCCCTGATACTGACCTTTCACTGATGTCCATTCCCTTTGCCTTCCCCAGGCACAGGCCATGGAAAGGAATGACATCATTGACTTCAAAGCTTTGGAGAAAGAGCTGCAGGCTGCACTTACTGCTGATGAGAAGTACCAGCGGGAGAATGCTGCCAAGTTACGGGCAGTGGAGCAGAGGGTGGCTTCCTATGAGGAGTTCAGGTTGGCTTAATGTCATTTTTCTCAGGCCCTCCTGTTATGGTCAATAGTAGTGGATAAGAGCATGTGTTTTGGATTCAGACAATTCTGGGCTCAGTACTGGTCCTGCCCTCTGCTACCTGTGTGATCTTGGGCAAGTTATTTAACCTCTCTGAGTCTCTATTCCTCATCTGTAAAAGAGAGTAACCATTACTATGATTAAATGAGTTATTACATGTTAGATTTCTGAGCACAATGTCTGGGACATGGGAAGTGCTTAAAAGCTGTCAGCGATTATTGTTGTTGTTGTTATTGTCGTATTGACCTGCCAACAGGTTCAGCCTGTATCATGCAAAGTGCAGCCACCTCACACCCACAGACAGCTTTAGTCCATCCCTTAATCTTTGTCCTTTGCCTGCAGGGGTATTGTCCTTGCATCACATCTGAAGCCACTGGAGCGGAAAGACAAGATAGGAGAAAAGAGGACTGTGCCCTGGAACTGTCACTCTACTCCAGGAAGGACATCTCAGGATGAAACCACCGAAATCTCCCAGGTAGGTGAGGCCCAGCAGGATTCTCTGCCCTAAACCTCCAGTCTTTTCTTCTTACAACACATACCTTTTCCTTATTTCTCATGTTAAGCCAACAGAAGCAGATTTCTGTCTCCAATCCCAGAAAGAAGAGCAACCATCAGATGGTGAGGATGAGTTAACTTGGGCAGAACAAATCCGAAAGTTGGGCTAGGCAGGTCCTTTTCAGTCAGTCCTTTGACTTGCATTCACAGATCAGATTTGGGTTGCTCTGGGTTATATGCTATATAGTATAATGATCCTGTGGCCGTGTTGGGATGTAGACCCAGCCTGTCAGATCCTTAACACTCCCCTTAAGTTCTTTCTCTCTTCCTGAGGTTTTCAGTCATCATCCCCTCTTCTCTGCTCAGAGTAGATCCTGACTTACCCTCACATTCATCAGTAGGAAAATCCTGGTACAACTGAGAATCTCACATCATGACCTGGGTTCTTTGGGACCCTCTCTCATCTGAAAATGAGGCCCACATGGACCATTGTCTTCCCAGTGCTCAGAGAGCAGTAGTAGAGTTAAGATGAAAACCCACAGGCTTCCCTCACTCTCACTGTCACAGAGCAGCTTGAAGAGCTCTGGATTCCCTTTTCGTCTTTTGTCATCTAGGAAAAAACAATCCTGCAGCCTAAGACCTCAGCAGAGTTTTACCGTGATTGGCGGCGATACTTGCGGAGCGGGCCAGAGCGCTACCAGGCCCTGCTGCAGCTCGGAGGTCCCAAGCTGGGCCACCTCTTCCAGATGGATGTGGGATTTGGACTACTAGGGGAGCTGCTGGTGGCACTGGCTGATCACGTGAAGCCTGCTGACCGGCTGGTGGTGCTGGGGATCTTGCGCAGCCTGGCCAGCACTGGGCGCTTTGCCCTGAACCTAAGCCTGATGAGCCACGCAGAGAGAGCGAGCTGCAGGGGCTTGTTTCAGAAGCTGCAGGCCATGGGCACCCCCAGACCCATGAAGGAAGGGCTCAGCCAGGAGGAACAGGGTCTGCAAGAGCAGCCTGGTGGGCTCCAGGAGGAGGAGATACTCCTACAAGAACTGCTAGCACTGTACCAAGTGGATTGATGGGACCAGTTATCTTCAGAGGCCCCCACTGGTTACTGGTGGCATATTTTGGTTGCCTTGGGGGCACTTCAGGACTAATAAGCCCATGCCTAATTCCCTTCTCAACTTGGAATCTTCAGAACAAAAGCTAGAATCAAATCTTCCCCTCTTCTCTAGTCCCTTGGTGGCTTGATATTCTGAACTGTGTAGATCCATAGGATGGTCAAGCACCCAGAAAGTTAAAAGAGCTTTGCGCCCTAGCCAGTTTGGCTCAGTGGTTAGAGTGTCGACCCATAGATGAAGGGTCCTGGATTTGATTCCAGCCAAGGGCACATGCTTTGGTTGCAGGCTCGATCCCTGGGCCTGGTCGGCAACCAATCGATGTGTCTCTCTCGCATTGACATTTCTCTCTCTCTCTCTCTCTCTCCCTCTCCCTCTCTCC